CGAAAGCAACAGCAGTTAGTATCTTTCCACGGTACGGGCCTTTAAGAAATGTACCATCCACACAAATGACGGGTTTTAAATGACGAAATCCTTCAATGGCAGGAGCAAATGCCCAAAAGATATAGTCAAATATCGGACTGCTCGAAATACTCAGTGGATGATGATCCCACACAACCACCGTACCCGGATTGGTATATTGTAATTCCTGGACATATGTTGGGAGTTGTGCAACGGACGTAGGCCAATCGCCATAAACAATATCGATAGCCTACGCCTGCCATACCAGGCTTTCTTGTATGAAATGTCAACGTGAAATTCTTTTTTCACTGATGTTTGTATTTCTTTGATCCTATACACTGGCCCGTTCATTATGTGGGGGATAATGTGCTCAGCTATTATGTCGCCACTCAGTTGCCTATGATCGTTGTTGCCACATATACGGACACATGTATGCTTTTCAGCAAGTGTAACGATCATCCACATCTTGTGAGATTTCCGTAGGGTTGCCCTAAGTTGCCAATTGCATGAAGGTACAGAGGTGCGAGCCCGACATCTGACATACCAAGTTGTGGGAGTGCTTTCACGGACTTTAAACTCCCTATTTTCCTTTATAGACCACAATTTAACTGCTCGCTTTACATGGTCTTTGGTTTCAAATAGCTGGCCAAGCTCTAACTCTTTCGTGCGTTCATTCCACAATTTTAGCTTCTCAACCCCACATGCATCCAGTGGATCAAACGTTAATGCAGCATCAACACCGGCTTTATATCGCAGTTGTGGTCCTTCATCAAAGGTCCATTGACTATTATGATCCTGATGATCCCCTGTATGGGGAAATGAACCATACACAGGGTTGTCATCATCGGAATCATCATCTGGTTCGGGTTCGGAGTCAACATCAACATCAGCATCAACATCAACAAATTCAATGTCGTTATTTTCCCCGAATCCCCAACTGTACACGTATCAATGTCCACACCATAACTTATAATGGGTTCCGTGTCCATCACTGGGTGACTACTACTGGGACGATTAGCCTCCATGCGGCGTCCATTACCCTTTCTCCTAGATCTTCGAGCCGATCGAACATTTTCACAATCTACTTGGGTCAATTGACTCTCATATAAGCCAATTGTCCCCACCACATCCATATGTTCCGATCCATATATGCTTGGGTCTTGATTACCATGCAAACTTGTAATATGCAAATTTTGCATATCATCATGTTTGAAATTTAGAATCGATTCAACCTCGATATATATCTCTGTCCCATGACCACTATTAGCTTTCAAAAAATACATTCCATCAACTCCATTATCATCTACCAAGGGCGTGGCATCGAACACACCATTTTACATGCAATTCCGAAATATCAAGTTAATTTTATGAGTATTTCGGTTTAACTCCATCATATTATATACAATGTCCACCAATCCATCAAAATTCACCCTTTCTGTGAGGAACATGACCTTTTTGGGCAACGGTGGATCATATGATATTGATCCGCCAGCATACACAATTTTTCCTCCCCAATAGAATTGCATCATCAGACAATTACCGCTTGACATGTTTCACCTAATCTACTAAAGACGTTAATATAATATATGGAGTAAATTATATAATAAAAATGGAGTAAATTATATAATTTAATATTATTTTAACATAATTATTATACCTAATCAGTGCATAGAATTTACAACTTTTTGTATTTTTATTTAAATTACGTAAGCAGTCGAGTGATATATCTATGTTAAGTTCAACCCTAATTAACATATTTATGTTAAGTTAATTACGTTTAAAACTAATTAATATATTTGTATTACGAACTAGTTCAACAGCATGTATTTAACATGCTACAACACTAATATGGAGTCTAAAAGTTTATTGATAAATTAATCATAAAAAATTTCTCTCCAAATAATTTAAAATATTAAGATATATTTGTAACTATAAATAGTTTTGTAAAATATCTACACTAATTACCTTTAATTCGATATACATGTAATATTAAAAAAATTAATAGCATCTATTAACATATCCATATGTCTGCACCTATTGTTTAAAGTATTAATCACGTGATAAAACTATACTAATTTATTGTTAACTTTAATCATGTGTTAAAAGTATATTAATTGGTAACAACACTTAAATTTATCCTTTTTTAATAGGATGATTAGTGATATGGTTAATTAATATCTAATCAAATAATTTACCTTACTAATTAATTAAACTAATCACTAACTAACTACTCTACTGGGTTATCACATATTCTTCCACATACCTAGTATTATACAATTCATTAATACTACATTCATTAATTTGAACTAATCACCATGCTACAACACAAAAAATACTCTAATTTACCATGTCAATTAAAAAACACTAATACGAAATAAAATATAAACAATGTCATGTCATATTTAGATTTCACAAATAATATATAATATAACACAAAAATAGAATTCACATTAAAACATAACAAATAATATTATACAATTAATAATCATGAATGATATGTTCCAAATTATAGTAAACAATATTTATGAATAATAATTAAAAAAAATAGATAAGTATTTTACTTACTTGATTATTGTTGTTTTTCCCTAGTCAATGATGGAGTTTCTGCGAGAATTTCGCCTGTCGAAACTTGCAAACACGACTGTTCAAATCAAAGGCCCTCTACTGACCGAATCCCAAGCTCTCTATCTCCGTTCAAATATTATAGCTTCAGACTTCACTGGAGGAGCTCCTTCAGAATTCCTTCAGAATGTAGCTAAGTTTCAAGGATCTCTGTCTCCGTCCAAATATTGTTTGTAACTTCAAACAATATTTATTTCACTTCACACACCCAAGCTTGAACAGAATGCAGAGGCTTTATCGACATGAGAAATGGAGATGCGGAGCTCCGTTTATGATTAGAGGGAAGAGGGAGAAACGAAAGTCTCAGCAAAAAAAAGATACGACTGAAGTTGTGCTTATGGAAATGGAATTGGGAGTTGCTCTGAAGAACAATTTATAAGCGAAGGAATTGTGCATTTCTCTAGCCCGTTGCTCCATGTTGAAGTGACTAAAGTGTCATTGAGAAATAAAACAAAAGCTGTCTACGCCTATTCCTGACACAAACAAGCCAAAAAATAAAGCTGCAGTCCCAAGCGGTCAAAGGCTGCAGGCTTCTGCCCAATAAATTTTGTATACGTCTGGCAGATGTCCTGCAGGACATGTCTACAAGGAGAGGCCATACTAAATGAGGAAGATCAATAATCGAGTCCATTTGTCTGTCTATTGCATGCATCAACCTAACAATGATGAACGAATGGCAACTTACACAGGTTTCACGGAAAGGTTTCACGTGAAAAAAGCTATCAATAAAGCCACGGTCAAAGGTTATAGATGCTTGAGAAAATTTGTTTTTTCAAAATAAGGAGGAGGATTTTAAAAAAAAAAAAACATTTCTGACCGTCGCGCCATGTTGGAGCGACGGTCAGAAATTTCTGACACCTCTGACCGTCGCTCCAACATGGCGCGACGGCCAGAAGAACTTTAAAAAAAAAAAATTTTGCTGCCCGTCGCGCCATGTAGGAGCGACGGGCATACAATTATACCACCCAGCTCAAGAACCACATTTGACGGCTAATTTTGGGAAGCATCAATATTTCAATCATTTGGCCCAATTTTTCGATGGGTTTGTTAAAATTCAAAATTTTAATATTACAATAATTTTTCATAGAAAACTAATTAGTCCCCCTTTCTAATTCAAATCAAATACCACCAAAACTGATTTTTTTTTTTGTCAACACAGAGGTAGCTGGGTCTTCGGACTGGTAATACCTAATGACCCAACTAATCCTCTGCGGGTCGGAGGCTGCCCAACTTTTTCACCGACCAAAACTGATTTGAAATAGGCTGTCTAGTCGTATTTACTGTATTATTGAAATTTTGACTATGGCAGCTTGCCAATATCATTTGCCGCCTCTTATACTTATGGCAACCTTTTGTTTTTCTTTCTCTTCCATATATGTGTTTTCCCACGAAATGAAAAGACTGTTAAGCTAGTCCTGTTACATGTTCTTAGGAGCATTATGCCCTGATAGAAACCCTTTATTTATTTTTAGTTTTGAAAATCATGCCCTCATCGAAACATTATGCTAATATAATAGAATTTTATTAATTTGTGATTCTTGTGAAGAATAAATTGTGCCAATCATAAGTTTGTGAAAAAGAAAGCTCAAGCTATCAGCTGCGTGAAATGCTTGGAGCAAAACAAAGTTTCAATCCTGGAGCAAATGTTAATTATCTTGCATTGGATATGGATGTAATACAGGATATACTTTTTCATACTCTTCTACATGACAGGCAGCTTTTTTCAAGGTAATCATAATTAATAGCTAATCATGGACGCACACAGTTCAATCCAAGTACACGGGATCAAATAACCACAATTCAAAAGTTACAGACTATATATAGGTGAAAAAAAAACTAAAACTTGACTGTTTGTGATTTATCATGAACAGGATCAGCGTTTCAGTCTTCAGACCAGACTACAGTAAGGATTAATGGAATCCCATGTCATGTATGAATTGAAGGGAAAGTGAAGCCATGTACCATTAGAAGCGTATCCTAGAGAAATTTCGTGAAATCTTTTCATTCTTCCGATTCTAACACAATTATCTGACAGTCAAATTACCGTGCAAAAAATTATAGCCGACAATCCAGTTAACGTACGAGCAAAATAGTAGAAGCTCCAATATTTGACTTGTGCTAGATCGATATATCTCATCAACTCTCGTTCGGTTCAATTTGATAAAAGAAGTCTTCACGAGTTCTCTCCCAGAAGTTGAATTTAGCACCATCTCTAGAGCTTTTGGTCGGAGAAAATGAACAGGTCGAGCCAACTGGCTGCTGAGTCCATTATGGGAAACGTATAAACAAGCAATTGCAAGTCTAGAATTAAAATTTCTCAACCTCTTTCCCATTAAGAATTAAAGAGATTCGTGCCAAAATCACAGATGCCAAGAAGAACAAAAGGCATTGGATTTTCTGAGGTTCCGATCTTGGCCGTCCTTTACCATTGTTTCCATGCATGCATGCGCATGCCTTGTTCTGATTAAGAAGTGAATAGTGAAAATCTTTGTGGCGTTGAGCAGGTGTCTAACTCCTATTAGGGTCCATCATGACCAAATAAGCGACACACCACCAGAAACTGTAGGTACAAAAAAGCATCATAAGCTGGGATCGAGATCATTTTTTCTTCTCCTCATTTTCCAGGTTGACAATTCGTTTCTGCAGCTGCAAATGCCACGGAAAGATTGAATATGTGAAGTAAGTAGTTGAGCAGTTAACTTAACAGGCATAAATCGTAAGTTTTGAAGCGTAGCATTATATACCAAGAAACGAAGTTTAAGTTGACAAAATTGATAGTGGTTTTTTACCTTGGCAAAATCTAACAATTTGGTCTTTGTGTACTTGAACTCATTCTTCACATAAAACAAGGCCTCATGGATGCTAAGAAAAGGTAGTATCAATAAAAGTACAATAACTATTGTTATCAATAACATCTGTCTGAGCTAAAGCTAACAATTGAGATAGGGTTTCTCTTTAAAACATTTGAATTCAAATGTACTATAGCTTGACAAAGACTCAAGAATAAGGTAATTATAGGTTCTGAATATTTACTCAATAGAAACCTTAGCTATTGAAATATATCAACTTTTAACATGGATAAAGGGGGAATTTCTTACTTATCTATGTCCTTGTTCTCACAAGCTTGAACGAGGTTCGAGCATTCAAGCAGCACACGCTCAGCACCAATTCTGTATACTCAAAAGAATAAATAAAAGATTTTGAAACCGTGATCATTGTATATACATATCTCTGTGTGTGTGTGCGAGCGCGTGCATGGACGTTCCTTTGAAAAGACTAGATAGAGAGGAACTTGGTGCATTTGCTATGTTACATAATCTTGTGCAATTAATTGTTTTACTCCATTTGAGTTCCAATTTCAGTCTAAAATACATATAGAGACTACGTTTATAACCAAACATACACACGTATAAAACACCAAAATGATATCGATAAATTAATCGTCTCAGCATACAAGTATAAAATTTGAAAACCCTTGTGATAATATAGTTTTAGATTATATTGGAGATTGTTTTTGTCCTTTTTTTTGGGTGTTATTTTAGCATTATACATACATGACTAAAAGTTAAGTTCACCAGCAAAACTTTTAGTTACAATTTCTATAATCATTAAATAGGTTTCATCAACATCTGAATATACATACCACTGAAGAAGATAAGGTACCTTTCGCTTTTCAGTTTTGCAGTGCGAGATAGTTCAGTCACCACAGCTAAATCAGCAGAATCATCCTTACTGGGGGAAAAATAAAAATCAATGAGGCAACATATATAGTTGAATAAAAAACAAATAAATTCAAGTAATTAATGTCAAGGTTTAAGCATTACATCATTCTGTTAAGTCGAAAAAGCAGGGATTCCATTTCAGCACAGTAAATATGGATTATTTGCACAACAGAAGAAGGATCAGTTGCTGATGCATCGCGCATAGTCCCACAAAAGTCAAGGTTTATGTAACCCTGAAAATAAAAAATGAAAACAAGGAATTAACTTTGGTTCATCACTGCATGAATTGAAGTATGAAAGATTCTTTAAACTTATACCTCATCAATCATCTGAAGGAGTTGGCCATGTCGAAACCCTTCATTTATCCTTTTGAAATTCATGGCTAGCTGGGAAAGCAATTGCAGAGAATGAGAAAAAAGAAATCATAAATATGTGATTTATGGTAGATATTGTTAATCACAGTCATTCAGGATTTAACACAAGCGTGAAGGTGTCTATGATAAGCTTTGACCTTAAAATTCATTGTTTTTGAACAAAAGTTATTCTGTCATTTTTTAGACATTTACATTTTTTAAAAAAATCTATAAAGACTACATGGATATGATATCTTCATTGTTACCTGTAAAATCTTAGCATTTATGAGATTTATGGGCACATCGAATCCAAACATATATATCTAGTAATAGAATAGGAAAATACGCCAAAATTGTTGATTCAATTAATAGTGTGAAACAAGCAAATGAAAATTATTTAAATAACTCTATAATTGCTGTGAACCATAAACAGAAACTTTGCATAAGGCATATCTTGTTGAGCACTAAGGACGGTAATGGGGGCGGGGGCCCGCGGGGGCTATTGGGGCGGGAAAAAACTTAAAAACGGGGCAGGGGGCGGGAGGACCCCGTCATCCGTTTTAAAAATAAAGATATATATATATATATATGTACATAATTATATATATAATATTTAATTTAATTAGTTATAAATTTATAATAATGATATTATTAGTTATATGTATCATTTAATGTATATTAGTATATGTAATATAATTGTTATTATCAATTATACTATTAATTATACATGTCCATTAATAAAAATTATTAATTATTTATACTAAATTAATTAATACATTTATATTAAATTCCTAACTATACTTAATACAATAACATTTTTTTCTAAAAAAATACAATAATAATTTAGTGATTGTATATGTATCAAAAGTAAAAATTTGATTATTTTAGTTATATTTGTTTTATCATATTAGATTGTATTCAAATAATTTTCATTGAATCATTTTTATGAGTTTCAATTGTGAAGTTGCAATAAATAATAATTTGATGATGTGTTGATATTTTAATACTTGATTATTTGCTAAAATTTAATTATAATGAAATATATAATAAAATTTTAACCCCACGGGTGCCCGGGGAAGCGGGGGCCGAGGGCGGGGGGGAATTAATGGGCAACAGGGCGGGGGTGCGGGAGGTCCCCCGCCCCAACCCGCCTCATTGCCACTAAAAATATGTTGACCCGAACCCGACCGCCAACCCGTGACGGGTCAGGTTTATACTGATCCAAACCGAAAATTTCAGGTTGACGGGTTGGCGGGTCGACCCGAAATGACTCGAAACTTAATTTTAATTTATTAATTTATCACTGTAATTTCTAATAAAATTAATTTCTCACAAAACTAATTACATAATCAAGTAATAAAAATTTAAATAAATAATTCCAAACCAAATCTAAAATAAATTAAACACCGTAAAAGTGTTTTATCCCAAACAAAATATAAAATAAATTAAAACAGTATAAAAGTAAAAATAATATAATATATTATTTGTCCAAATATAATAATTTCAACTTCACACAAATTAAATAAATTCATTTAGGATTAAGTAATTAATGCCTTTGAAAAAAAGAATAACTTAGTTTAGTTAGATAAAATTATTTTTATATTTATTAAATTATTTTTAATTCGTAAACGGGTCATATCGGGTTATATCAGGTCACCACGGGTTGATCCGAAATCGACATGTTTTCTTTTCGGGTTCATCGGGATCAACCCGATTCTGACCCGAATTCCCGAAACCTCAACCCAAACCCATTAATTTCGTGTTAGATTCGTATCGTGTTTTCAGGTCGTATCGAAAATTGCCACCCTTATTGAGCACCGTCAATTAAATCTGGTAAAAAAGAACTAGACAGGAAATTGTCATACGTTGTTGAAATGACTTTGTTTGCAAACTCAAAAATGATTTATATCACTGAAAAGCAAGCGAGAAATGGGAATAAATACATCAAGGGAGGAAGATTATGAATTGAACAGCTAACAAAACATACCCAAAACTGTTAAATATATGAATCTTTCTGGCTGGAAAAACAACATCCATAGAATGAATAATACTTTGCCACGTCAAATTGAAAAGCACATATGACCAACCAAAGATCTCATACATATATAAGAAAAATGTTGGGGCAAACACTGTTTCTCACGCCAAAAATAATTTTGAAGGATAAACGATTCTGATTAACAGCAACATGCCTATGAAATACAAGATCAATTCAGCTTTTACTTTCTTCTTTAGCATTGATTAGAAATTGGGAAATTTTGGGAAAAGATTAAAATCAATAGGATTTAAAGGATGTATTAACATGCATGATTGATTAGAAATTAGAAAATATTGGGAAAAGATTAAAATTTATAGAAATTAGAGGATGCATCCACATGCCTACACTAATAACCCAAAATAAAAATTGAAACAGAAAGATCAACTAAAGCAAAGAGAGCATTTCTTCCAAAAATCTCTAGGGTAGCCAAACCATAAAAATCATTCTTAACCTAAACAGAAGAAACAAATTTCTTGCCCATCAATGAAAAGAAAGAATGTATCTATAGCATCAAGAGAATCACCATTTCAACAATTTGATCGAGGTTTTAAGTGAGTTTCTCACCTCAATTGAAGTTCTCAGCCCTTGAATTTCACCTACTGATCTGTGTTTGACTGAAGAGAGGGGCAGGGGCAGGCTTAAGTAAGCACCGACTGGAGCAACATACACTAATGTGTTTTTTTCAAGCAAAACAAGAAGTTTTTGTGATTGATGATGCTTGGCTGGCTTGTTAACGTTAAAAATAGGTACGAATGCAGACAAAATATGTATGGATGGTCTACAACTGCCTGCATGTAGTAATGACTCTTTACATGGCACTTACCAAAAAACAAACAGAAAAAAGAAAGAAAAACAAAAAAAACAAAATCATGATGTGGTTCCTGAGTTAACATTGATATACATCAAACTTTGCTGATAAGATCTCCAATTTTCAGGCCTGGCTGATGTGCTTACTATATGGATTAATGCACTAGAAAATGGATTGCATTTGTTTGATTAGTTCACATAATTAATACGAGAATACAAAACAAGATGGTACGTTTAGCAGTTTAATGCATGTTTTAGTTAGTGATGAAACTAAATAGATAAGGAGCTTCTCTAGTCAACTTTTTGTTGATTACTCAAATTAAGCACAAATTTATCACTAAGAGTTATCAATATAGCTTCTTCAATTAATAGTTGTAAGCCTAAGATGAAAATACATAGGAGAAACTGAACATAAACGGCACAATGTCAATGTAACATTGAGAAAATTTAAGAGGATGGTTGAAAGAAAAGAATAAACATAAAATGAAATTTCTTTAGCTCAAATCGTATCATGCTGAAGGACTTAGATGCATCAATCAATATGCTTGTTAATTGAGATATATCAATTAACGCTCAGATTCACCTTCATTGAACACTATGAAAGTTTGTTTTCACTTGAAAAATTAAACTCTCAACAATCAAAATTTAGTTTTCAGATTTCAGAATTTGCTTTGTCATTAATTTTACCAAATAAGCTCTTGGTGGAAATATATGGATCAGAGCTTCAAAGGCAAAATTCAACATCCTTCAAAAGCTATATTTTCATCGATCTTTACGCCAAGTATATAAGGTCAGATTTGACATATTTTACTTTGAGTTATTCTAACTAAAAGAATTTCACTTTTTTTTTTTTAAAAGCGAAATGTGTCCATTATGTGAAACGGGACGGGGTTAGGGACAGTTATCAAATTAACTGTTCGTAAATAGTGTATGCAACACACTTTAACCGTAGACAAACTATGTCATAAGAATAAGAGTAACTTCTCGCAATATGTTGATATTTGATAATGAGGTATAATCGAAAAAAAAAACATAGAAATAGCAACATGGTCGAAGAAATATCAAATGATTTATTTGACATATTTTACTTTGAGTTATTCTAACTAAAAGAATTTCACTTTTTTTTTTTTAAAGCGAAATGTGTCCATTATGTGAAATGGGACGGGGTTAGGGACAGTTATCAAATTAACTGTTCGTAAATAGTGTATGCAACACACTTTAACCGTAGACAAAGAATAAGAGTAACTTCTCGCAATATGTTGATATTTGATAATGAGGTATAATCGAAAAAAAAAATAGAAATAGCAACATGGTCGAAGAAATATCAAGTGATTTATCATATACCCCTAAAAAATTCTCAAGCTTCTATTGAAGCCTGCAAAAGGCACTCTTCATACTCATTAATGCTGTAGCACTCCTGAAATTTCCATGAAACAAGTTAAGGAAGACACTCAAACATTCAGCCAACTAAACTCATAAGTGTTTCACATATAAGTGACAAGAAATAGTTACATAACATGGAACATTAGTGACAAGAAATGAAAATGGTAATAAGTTGTAAATAGTCACTTACTATACATGATCAAAATAAGAAAAAAGGAGTATAGATAGAAAATAAATGTCTTTGTACCAAAAGACATGGATTTCCCATATATGGTATGCTTGAAACTTTTGCCCAAGATATTTTGGTATATGGAATCGAAGAAACTTTCAAACTGGCAAGCATGGTAGTGATAACATGAATGAAGCAGAATCTGTCACAAAATCAGTTCAAACCTATACGTATAAAAAAAGGTTGTCTAATAGTTAGAAGGGAAAATTTAAGAAAAAAATGGAAGTAAAAAGATTCAAAATTCATAAGTAACGTGAAAATTTTGGTTAATTTGTGAATGGGGTACCATTTACTTTACTGATAATAACTAGTAAATTTACTACTAAATGACTAGACCATTAAATGAACAAACTACCGACCATACAATGTGCACTTATCAGATAACGAATTAAAAATTTACACTTGGCTGAACATATACAAATATTCAAATATGTACATCTCAATCGATATAGGTGCAAATGGGTATATTCAAATGATGAGTGCCAGTGTGTTTACATAAGAGTAATTTCGTGATTTCGTCTGTAATTTTAATTTTCTAATAATTTGTGAATAGTATATTCCAAGCTTCATTTATAAATTTTCTAAAACTTATTTTCTTTTCAGAAATTTGGAATCTTCCTATTTCCATTTTTCGAATTTTCTTTAGTTAATGTTGTTATTGGCACTCTCACTGTATACTTTAGTGAATCTAATTTCACTATCCAATCTTCATACTTTACCCAATGTCTCATTAATAAGAACTAGGGTGAGATTTAGGGGTAAGAATGTTTAGGTGAGATTTGGTGGTATCAAAACCCAATTTAGCTAACAAGAATATTAGTTAAGTGGCGCTCAAATTCATCACAATGCCCTTTTGAAAGGCTTATCTTTATCATCGTTTTTATGTATGCATTTTGTTTTCTTAATCCACTTAACTTTTTTTTGGAGCGTCCATCCAAAAAAAAAAAATAATAATAGTTTGTTGGAGCCTACAATTAGATAAAAAGTATCCCATAGAGACTCATTTTAAGTGGATTTTTCTAATAAAATCTATTATGCTAAGAAAATAATGATTTTATTGTTTCGTTAATTATATATTTATTTGGGTTTAGTTTTGGATAAATTTGCAAAAAAAAGTGCACGATGAATGTCTAGTATTTTGACATTTTACTGGCTATTGATGATACTTGAGCTCTTAAAGATTAGTTTTTGACACCTTCCCAGAAAAGATTTTTACTCTCTATAATATTCATGTACCTAAATACATAAATAGGAATTCATGCTTGTGAAGCAAACTCGAATGGAAATGTTTCAGCGTTCTTTTGGGGGGGAAGGATGGGGAGGAGAAGAAACTGTGTTGACGGATTTATGGATTTATCTTTTCAGTTTGTAATTATTGATTGTTACCTTTTCAAATACGTGAACTGAAGAACGGAAAAATGGAGTTCAATTGTTTATTCAACTGAGTAAAGAATGAGAGTCGATTCTTCTATATCATCTACCATATTCTTCTAAATACAGGCAAAAAACAAAAAAAAAATGTTCAGATAGAGCAAGGAAAATGTTGGATGTCCAAATGTGTGTGTGTGGGTGCTTATTTTTCTGTGTATCTCTTCTTGTATCATTTGAATTAAATGCGCTTATTTGTATGTATCTAAAATGCCATTCCCAGAAATCAGAAGATTGAAGTCACAGAGGAACAAGTTGAAACTTGCAGGGATAGAGAATTTTAGCTCAATTTTATTGTCAACTTCTTTTTTTTTTCTTTTTTAGTATAAATTTTGAATAAATTGGACCTTGTTTGGTCTTGTATGGTGTTTGTGGCAAGAGGGCTAGGGGAATTAGTGATCATCCAAACTAAGAAATATACAAAATGGTGCGTTTGACATTTGTCAACTTACTGTTTCAAGAAAAAATGTAAGCATTTGTCTGAAAATAGGCCATGGATCAATTTGAAATCTATGCAGCTTGTGAGTTTAGGCATGTCAATATATACGTCAAATTTTACCCAAATCTAACCCAAACCTAGTATACTTGAATAAGGTTTAGATTTGATTTTTCAAACCTAGGCTCTACTCAGACTCAAATCCCGTAAGAAAATTAGGGGTTTGGGTAGGGTTTAATTTTCTATAATTCATACCAAGATCCAATTCCATATCAGTCTCTATTCAGACTCATGTGTATATGTATGTATGGATGTGTGTGTGTGTATATACACACATGCACACACACACATATAGACATATATATGTATGCATGTATGTATATTAGTAAATTTATAAAATAGTTTAATATTCTATGACTGTTGGATCGAATGCACCAACACTTTATGATTGTTTTCTTTTGTCAAACTAATTCTAATTGTCATTATAATTGGTATAAATTTTTTTAAGAAAAGGAGAAAAAGTAAAGGCAACAAATGAAAGATTGGACGTGGATACAGTTAAAGTTTTAAAAATAAATAGAAGTGGTCGATTATGATTCTTTTTTAAGTTCATAATATTGCATTCAACTTTTTAAATATTAAATTTATTATTTGAAAATAAAATTTGAATGGTATTCTTGTTATTTTTTCAACTCTATATTTTTTAAAATATTTTTACTTTAATACGTTTAGAAAAATGCAATGGATATCCATTGGATACTTAGATCTATGAGGGTCTAAGACTAGAATTATTTTTTCAGACCCATAAAGGTTCGAATTTAGATCTGGATCTAACTAAATTTAATAGGTTTTAATCTGTATCAAAATGATCCAATTCAAACCCTATCCATTGACGTACCAACGTGCGTTGACAATCCCAGAGCACAAAGAAATAAGATCCAATTTGGGAGGCCTCATGGCCCAAATACAGATTTCTCAAATTTGGTGACCCAACCGGTCCCCCTTTAGATTTAATTCATTCTAAGGCCTAATTTCGCAATCCTTTGTCATTTCCCAGGTCTACCAAAATTCAAAAGTTTAATATTACAATAATTTTTTAATAAAACACAAAGTTACTCTTTTTAATTCAAACCAAATACCACCAAAAATTGATTTGAAATAGGTTGTCTTGCCATTTTCACTCATTTTTAATGTACTATTGAAATTTTAACTATGACAAATTGCCAATGTCATTTGCCTCTTCCTATACTTATAGCAACTTTTTTTCTTCTTTCTTTTTCATTCCATACATGTGCTTTCCACGAAAAGAAAATACACATCCTCTTAGGAACATTATGCCGTTTTAGAA